ACTTGTTATTTCAACAGCCATAGTTAATACTTATGTTTGCCGGCCTGGCATAAGTTGTTACTCCCAGTGGGATTCTTTTTCTTTTTTTCCTGAAACATGACTTTGTCTTCCTTTTCTTAAATAGCTAAGTATTTCAAATGACATTCTATAATTCAGAGGACTGAACAGGGCATTCTTCAAAAACAGGCATGTCAAAACTAAAACTTGTAAAAACAAAATCTAAACTCCTACAAGGAATTAAGCATCAAATCTTTCATCAAAGGACTGCTTATCACATGTGGTATCATCAGCTCTTGATTATACACGTTAGTGGAGAGGACCAATGACCCAGATAATCCAAAAATCATTTATTTGATTTTGAAATGTGTTTTTATTTACATTTGATCCTGGGTCTATCCAGTCCTTAGGAGTGGAAATGGAAACAAAATAACGAGCTCATGCCGTTTGACTCAAAGAACCAGAAATACAGCCCAGAGTCTCGACCTTGAACTTGTCCCAGCTCTGCTTTCAGTTCTAACGAGTTAAGACTTCATTTGCCAGCCTAAGTAGACATTTCCCTTTTTTAGCCTGCAATGTTTGTGGCTTATTATCTTCCATTAAGTGAGAGAGAAAATTAGATTTGGGAGTGGAAAAGCCTGTCTTTCTAGTGCCAATTGGGCTACACGATATATGAAGTAAGAAAAAAACATACTGGGCCTGGCTGGTGTGGTTCAGTGGTTGAGCGTCGACCCATGAACCAGGAGGTCACGGGTTGATTCCCTGATTGGGAATCAACCCGTGACCTCCTGGTTCATGGGTCGATTCCCAATCAGGGCACATGCCCAGGTTTTTGGCTTAACCCAATAGGGGGTGTGGAGGAGGCAGCCAATCAATGATTCTCTCTCTCCCCCTTCCCCTCTCTGAAATCAATTAAAAAATATTATTTAAAAAACACTTATTGGCCGAAACAGGTTTGGCTCAGTGGATAGAGCGTCAGCCTGCGGACTGAAAGGTCCCAGGTTCGATTCCGGTCAAGGACATGTACCTGGTTTGCGGGCACATCCCCAGTAGGAGATGTGCAGGAGGCAGCTGATCAATGTTTCTCTCTCATCGATGTTTCTAACCCTCTATCTCTCTCCCTTCCTCTCTGTAAAAAATCAATAAAATATATTTTAAAAAATAAAATAAAAATAAAAGTTTATTTTTTAAAAAAAACACTTATTGGATGATCTTAAATAGGGCACTGCCTCTATACCCCCATTTTCCTCTTCGCACAAGCTGACTCTAGTCAGGGTTAGATGAGAGGGTGTGACAAAGCGCTCAGCCGAGTCCTCGGCACCTATTGAGTTCTATATAAATGCAGCTCCATCTTATTGGCTTCTGCCTAACCTAATGGTGAATTATCAATCTACACAGAAGAATTAAATGTAACCCCACAAGAAAATACATAACAAGCATCTTTGCAGAATAAGTGAATAAATCTTTGCTCCACACTGAATCAGGGCCTACATAAAGTAGTATGTTTAAGTGCAAAATGTCAAAAGGTCAAGAGGGAGGAAAATGTGATAATGCAGGTAAAAAAAACACAGCTAGAAAACTCTTGATTTTTCTAACAGAAAGCCCTTGCTCGATTGCTTGTAATTATTCCCTTCTAGTATATAAATTTAACAGATTTGATTCATTTTAATTACTTTTCTACCAGTAAGCAATGTCCTGTGTCACTTTTGTTTGGTGATCGTTCATTATACTGCTGGATTACTTATTAATGGCTTGTTTATTTAACTCCGGGGACACAGATAACGTCTGCATTATCTGAGTGTAATACCTTGAAAAGCCTCTGTTCAACATGTTCCAGAACTTCCTCACAATAGCAATAAATGACACCAGGTTTTTAAAAATATCAGTAAACACTATAACTTGGAGGGTGTCATTCAATAATTGCTTTTCAACTGCATTTCCAGATTCTGAAAGACAGAGTAGCATTTCATTATCTAATTATGCCCTAGGAGTAACTTGATATACAGTGCTATTTTGCAATGATTTTATTGTGTTTTTTTAATTTATTTTTTTATTGATTTCAGAGAGAGAAAGAGAGAGGGAGAGAGATAGAAACATCAATGAAAGAGAATCATCGACCAGCTGCCTCCTGCACGCCCCCTACTGGTGACAGAACCCGCCACTCAGGCATGTGCCCTGACTAGGAAACAAATGGTGACTTCCTGTTTCATAGGGCGATGGTCAACCACTGAACCACACTGGCCGGGCATGATTTTATATTGTTTCACCTCAATCATTATCAGGTTGGGGTTTGTGAAACTCCTAGAATTTAAATTCCATGCCCTTAAAACTATACAGCATCAGTAACATTCATTTGTAGTCTCATGTCAAAAATAATGAACTTCCCAAATATCACACTGAAATTATCATTCTGTATATACACAATTTCATTGTTTATTGTCCCCATATACCAACCTAAGTTGAATTCCAATCTCCCTGAGTTACTCCAAATGAAGGTATTGACTTCTCAATCCCCGTGGTTCTCAAAATTTAGGTTATGAAGACTCGACGAGAGCCTTGTACTCTCCACCACCAGACTGTGTTAGTGTATAGATTCAGGGGTGAGGTTCAAGAATCTCCATTTTCAGCCAGTTCTGATGCAGGTGGTTTGCAACACACATTTTAGAAATCACCAACTTATACTAATACTTTGATTTGACTGAAAAAAATTTAGTTGCCATAACTTAATAAAGTATTACTAAAAAATGTAAACACTTTCAAACTTGCTCAACTGAATAATCCTGAGAAGTTAAGTCTACTTAAGGGTTGGTTTTTTGTTTTGTTTTTTGGTTTGGTGAGCCACTAGTTTAAATACTGATTGCACACTTATTACATATGCTCTGCACTGAAGCATATAAAAAATAAACAACTACATTTTGTTCAGCGGGGCTTCATAACCTAGTTAGGGCAGCAATATAGAACCATAAAGAAGATAAGTCAAATTACTTAGAGTGAATGATTAAATGGCAAATAAGGGGAAATCAGAGGGGCCACTGACAGGGATGGAAGTGGGAGTGGGAGGGGGGAGCCTTCCCAGGAGTGCAGGGGCAGGAGCAGGGAGGTAAGACAGACCCTGGGGCAGATTAAAGAAAGCCAGAGTGACTACGCCTCTGAGCGATCATATTCTGGGACTGCCAGGAACACATGACACCTCTGCTATGCATATTTTGCCTCCGAGTTCAGCGATGCCAACTATAATTAAACCCACATGCATATTTAAAGTCCCTGCTTACTATAAAAGGGGCAAAGCCCCCTTTTAGATCTTCTCAAACTGTTCAGTATTTTAATGCCAAAAGTAGAAGAAAATAAAAACAACCCCCAGCCACAATCAATAGTTGTTGGAGAATGACCAAAATTGAAAGAAAAAAGACCAAGGAAATTTAGCACAGAGGTACATTTTTAGAAAAATGAAGAAAATTTTTCATTAATTAGTTCAAGTTCTGTGCTGAAAGAAAGCGCAGAAGTGGAAGGGAAATGGATATGCCCAACCCCATTACACAGACCAGAAAATGAAAACACAAAAGCTAATAAGGGCAGGATGAGAAAGCAAGTGAGTAATGCAGGCCAGGGTGGGAGGCAGTATAAGAACTGTGGCTGAAACAACCATAATGTCCACAGAAAATATAAAAAATATGGTATTCATGCAAACAAAACCTTGTACATGAATGCTCATAGCAGCACAATCAAATGAAAGAACCTGTCCACATAATTTATGACTACATAAATAAAATGTGGCATATCCATAAAATGGAATATTATTCAGCCATAAAAAGGAAAGAAGTACTGACAAATGCTATGACATTAATCAATCTTGAAAACATTATGCTAAGTGAAAGAAGCCAGACATAAAAGGCCATATTTTGTATGATCCCATTTATATAAAACATCCAGAATAAGTAAAATCAAAGAGACAGCCCAGCTGGTGTGGCTCAGTGGTTGAGCATTGACTTATGGATTAGGAGGTCATGGTTCAATTCCTGGTCAGGGCACATGCCCGGGTTGTGGGCTCGATCCCCAGTGTGGGATGTGCAGGTGGCAGAGCATCAATGATTCTCTTCCATCATTAATGTTTCTCTCTCTCTCTCTCTCTCTCTCTCTCTCTCTCTCTCTCTCTCTCTCTCTCTCCTGCTCCCTTCCTCTCTGAAATCAATAATATGTGTGTGTATATATATATATATATATATATATATATATATATATATATAATAAGGAGACAGAAAAATTGATGGTTGCCAGGAGCTGGGGGAACAGAGAATGGGGAGTAACTGCTTAATTGCAACAGAGTTTTCTCTTGGAGTGAAAAGTTTTGGAACTAGACAGAGGTGGTGGTGGTTGCAAAACCTTGGGAATGTATCCTATGCCACTAAACTGTTCACTTTGCAATGGTAATTTTGTACCATGTGAATTTCACCTCAATTTTAAAAATCTAGAGACAACAAAAAAGGAACTGTGGCAAGCTGGAAAGGACACACCTTGTAATTGGCATCTACCACCCCATCCTTGCCAGGTGCTGCCATGTCAGAACTTACTATTTGAGAGAGAATGAAAACTCGGGTTTTTATATAAAAACTCGCTATTTTAAATATTGGGAACTAATTCAAAAAATTCAAAATTGTGCTGGCCAATGAAAAACTTACCCTGGGGTAAAGACAGGCCTGGGACCACCAATATGTAAATTCTGGCAAAGCCCATGCTAATTTAAATAAGAATATTTTAATAGTCTATAAGCTCAGTGTATTGTTTCATGATTTCAAATTCTTAGAGATATTTTAAGTAAAAATTTCATTTTACCTGAATATATTTACAAACATATACTAATTGTACTTTAAATATAAAGTTACATATATATTTTTTAATAGACAACACTATGACATAAAAAATAGGCTTTTTTTTTTTTTGTCTGCAATGGCCATTCCACCCCATGACATCCGAGTTCTCTTTCATGACTTAATTTGAAATTATACCTTTTTCTCTATGATATTCTGTTGGGGATACTCCAAATGTGAGTTCTTCTCTGCTCAGTAAAAGCATTATGCTGGATGAAAGGCAGCCGTCCATGCATATTCATGACCTAAGTTGCCTTAGCTTTGATCATTATTCAGTCAAACTTCAGTTTGGGTTAAGACCTATAAATAAAGTGGAGTAAAGACCTTACTTTAAATAAATTCCAAGCACTTATAATTATGTTTAAATGCTCTCCTACCAAATGGCAAGTTATGTTAAAATAGAATAATAAAATATCCAATATTTATTTATTTTTAAATATTTTTTTATTGATTTCAGAGAGGGAGAGAGAGATAGCAACAACAATGATGACAGAGAATCATTGATCAACCTGCCTCCTGCATGCTCCACACTGGAGATTGAGCCTGCAAGCTGGGCATGGGCCCTGACCGGGAATCGAACCATGGCCTCCTGGTTCATAGGTCAACACTCAACCACTGAGCCACACCAGCCAAGCTCAAAATATCCAATATTTATAAGACTAAACAAACAAAACAAAGCCTCTAAATTTGAAAGCATAAATTTCAGGGACAGCATAACTTTTTATTTTAAAATAATTTTGACTTACAAAAGGGTTGGAAACATATTATTCAGAGTTTCCATATATCCTTCACCTAAATTTCCCTTAACTATAACCATGGTACATTTATATGACCATTTATAAACATGTATATAACTGTGATACATTGGTCAGAAATAAGAAATTATCACTGGTACAAGAATGTTAATTAAACTATCGATTTTGTTCAGATTTCTATTTCAGGACCCAATCCAGGGTACTAGGTTGCACTTTGTCTCCAAGGCTTAGCGAGTGGAAACTAGTCTAGTTCGCACAGCACAGGATGCAGAGCACATGTTCAAACGCAGGCGACTCTCTGCTGCTCCCTGAGCCAGGCTGCTTCTGAGAGATGCTGGGCAGAGCCCTGGGAAGTCTTCCTGAAGTTGTTTTTATGCCACAGGCTTAGAGGGAAATGGTGTTGCCCTCACCGTCCTTACAAGTGATAAGCATTGACCTAAGTCTACATTCTAAAAATGCAAACGTGGACCACTCAGAACAATACATACTTAGAGCAGAAAGTGGGCCTTTGAAGTCATCTAGTTTAATGTCTTCATTGATGGCTAAAGAAATTAGTGAGAATTTCCTCTATTTTACTGAGAGATAGATACCTTTTAAAATTTACAATTTAGACTTACCTATGGGGCACTTTGCATCTCAGCCTACACCAAGGGAGGAATCCCTTGGCTGAGGACGCGGGAGCTGTAGACAGGTAGATGATCGATGGTTGTTTTAGTAAATTTATTCAAACTAAGAAAAACATTCTGCTCCCACAAAACCAAAGAGAAACAGAGAGCCTTCATCTCTCTCTGGCCCTCAGGTGGTTCCCAGGACCCTGAGGCTAGAGGGAAGGCAGAAGTACCTCCTTTTTGCTCAAGTGCTGTGCGGGTCCTCTCAGCTGAGAGCACAGGAACAGGAGAGGAAGGGAGAGACTCTGATTTCTGGAAAAGGAAAGGGTGGTGTTCCTTCCCCACGTTTTTCTCCTGCACGTAAGGTACAGCTTTCTCCCGACTGACAGGTAATCAGGTATTTTCCCTTCGCGAGTGTCCGACCCACTTCCAATTTTAAGAGGTAATTCAAGATACCCCTGCCCTTTCTGAAAAATGTTTTCTCTCGGGCAGATTGCATTATCAACAGGAGTAGGTAAATATTCACTGCAAAGTAACTTTGTGTTTTTTTCTCAAGCCAACACGTGAATTTAATTTAGAATACGAATGGGCATGGTAAACACGAATATTATTTGTTGTTTTCTTTTTTGAATAAAGATTGATTTTTAGTTTTAAGTCATAAAGGGTAGTTTCTTAGTGAACATACTCCATACTTGTTCAACTGGGCCATGGGTATCAGACCAAGCAAGTTTGTGAAAGTCCACCCTTTGAGTTGCCAATGAGATCACTAGCAATTTATTTATCAGATAAGTAGCCCCACCTGTATTACTTCAGGCCTGGAGCCTCAGAGGGTCTATGTTTAGCATCAGACTTCAAGGTTTACTTTCCCATAGAATTCTAAAGGTTTTCTTCAGGAATGACTAAGGTTTTAGAAATTTCCCATGTAACTTTGTCGTACTGTGCCATGTGCACAAGCTGTTTGAAGATGCCTTTGATACTCGAGGGCTGTCATATCACCTGCCCTTGGTCCTTGAAAGAGGGGTTACAGGTGGAACCATTGTTCTAAGACCATTCATTACCCTCCAGCCTCCGAAATGATCAACTGCTAAGTGTTGTTTATTTGGGTGGCTCCAAACTAGTCTCAGCTTAATCACTCTCTCCTGGAAGCTTTTCCTCACCCACAGAGCTTAGTTTCTTCCTGATATGCCCTGAGAGCTTGTGATTTAAGGTAAGTCCTGCCCTAGCCAGTTTAGCTCAGTGGCTAGCATAGGTCCTCAGATTGAAGGGTCCCAGGTTCAATTCCGGTCAAGGGTACATACCTCAGTTGCAGACTCGATCTCTGGCCCTGGTCCAGGTGCATGCAGGAGGCAACCAATTGATGTGTCTCTTTTACATCAATGTTTCTCTCTCTCTCTCTGTCTCTCCACCTCCCTTCCACTCTCTCTAAAACAAACAAACAAACAAACAAACAAACAAAACAATGGAAAAATATCCTCAGATGAGAATTAACAACAAAAAAAGGTAAGTACTGGTTTAACTTACCTCCACTAGAATATAAACTCTATCAGGTTCAAGACTAGGTCAGCCTATTGACCACTATACCCCTAGAATCTAGCATGGTGCTAGAAATTCCACAAATACCAGTGGAATAATCAAAGAGAAGGCTTCACTCATTCCATCTGAACCCTTATGCAGTGTTTGAAAGTGTAGGAAACAGCCCACTCTCCCGTCCTTAAAACATCCCTCCCACAGGGGGAGCACTCTCCTATTAGCCTCCCCCCACCTTCCTCTTTGCTCTTCCAATGGCTTCCTTTGCTCCTCCTTCCCGCTGTGTTCTTTCCCTACACTCCAGCCTAGTCCACTGTCTCCCTGCCAGGAAGCAGTAGGCACTCCACAAATATGCGTTGAATGAAAGGATGGCATGCCCCAAACTCTCCTAGGAACATGTTATCCATCTCCATAGCTTCAATAATTATGTTAAACTGAATATCTAAATATCTCTACCCAACCTAATTTAAATATCTATCCCTAACTTAAATGTCTCACCTGGGCAACAAACCTGTACCTCCATGAGCACCCTTATATCAATACATTCACAACTAAATCTAGACTTTCCAATAAACACAACAGATTAATCCCACACATGATCTCTTTCCCTCCCCAGTCTCTGCTGAATCATGGTAAGGAATTTAAGGGGCGGGAGGGGGGAGGGAAGAAAGAAGGTACAAATCCACAGGGCAAAGAGAACAGAAGAGAACCCAACAGCTAACCAAAGATTTCCACACATTTGTGGAAGGTGTAATGCGGGTGGAGGTGAATTAGCTGAGTTAGGAGAGTACCACCGGGGAATAGGACATTATGTACGTAGTAGTTTCTTCTCATGTCTAAAAATGTAAATTGCAATTTTTTTAAAAAATATGTTTTTCTCGATTTTAGAGAGGAAGGGAGAGAGAGATAGAAACATCAATGATGAGAATCATTGATTGGCTGCCTCCTGTACACCCCCTACTGGGGATCGAGCCCACAACCTGGGCATGAGCCCTGACGGGGAATAGAACTGTGACCTCCTGGTTCAGAGGTCAACGCTCAACCACTGAGCTACACCAGCCAGGCTTCTATTTTTCAATTGGCTGTTTCATGTACCTTTTTTCTCTTTCACCATTTAACAGTTTCTGAATGCTGAATTAGATACTGGAAAAAGAAAAATACCTGATTCAGCCTCAGCCTACAGAACCCTGGAAGGGCATATGGAGACCCAGCATGAAGGAAAACAGAGCTTATGGACCAGGTGGACTGAACCAGGGCAAGTGGCAGTTTACATAATGGGCTGTGCCACACTGAGCCACCTTCCAGGCTCTCCTCAGGAAAACTGGCAGCTGGCTTCTATTCCCCAGGATGATTAGACCTTCTCTAAGAAACTGACTAGCCTAAGGGAGACTTCCTGGTATGTGGAGGTTCCCTCTACAATCAGCAAGCACTACCTGTGCCCACATAGCTCCGTTCAGCTTTCTTTCTTTCTTTGTTTTTGTTAATCCTCACCCGAGGATATTTTTCCATTGATTTTAAAGGAAGTGGAAGAGAGGGGGAGAGACAGAGAGGAACATATATATTAATATTATTGTTGACAGTATTACAGATGTCTCCCACCTTCTCCTCCTTTGCCCCCTCCACCATACTCTCCCCCACCCCCCACAGGCCTTTACCACACTATTGTCTATGTCCATGGGCTATGCATATATGTATAAAAGTTTTTTGCTTATTCTCTTCTTGTCTCCCTACTCCCCTCTGTTTGCTCCATGCTTCTGGGCCTATTTTGTCAGTTTATTATGTTCATTAGATTCCACATATAAGTGGGATCATGTGATATCTGTCTTTCTCTAGCTGGCTTATTTCACTCAGCATCGTATTCTCCAGGTCCATCCATGCTGTAGGGCAGAATTCTTAAGGACACCCCTTTCCCATCCCACCCCATACACCTGCTCCTAACACATCTTCCAATTTCTGTTCCAGTTATCATCATTCACCCAGCTGATCAGGCCTAAAAACTAGAACTCTTATCTGAGTTTTCCACCTTCCCCCACCCTGATATCTAATGTCAGCAGTCCTGTTTGCTCTACTTGCAAAAGATATCCCAAATCCACCTCCATGTTTTACCAGGTCACCGCTGCCGTCCGACTCTAAAGGGTCCCTTTCCTGGAGACTGCAAGATACTCCCTGTGAGTCTCCCCTGCTCTGCGTCTCTGTCTCCAACAGGCTGACTTCCTCACAGCAGCCGGAGCATCTCAGATCGTATCAATTTCCCACTTAACACCTTCCAGAAGCTTCCCAATACAATTAGAATAAAATCTGAACTACTGAACTCAGGATTATATATGACCAGGCCCGCCGACTTTCCAACCTTAACTCCTACTGTTTCCCCATCACTCTCTCCACTCCAGGCAAGCTGGCCTGTTTCAAACACACCAGATTCATTTACCAGCTGTTCCCTCTTCCCCCAGATTTTATTTTAGCAAGGCTCGCTCAGAATGTTACCACCTCAGGAAAGCCCATCATCTATAGCAGACCTTTCTCCTCCACCCAGTCATTGTTTACCCCAGTGATTTTCAACCCTTTTCATCTCACAGCACACATGCACACATGGACTAATTACTAAAATTCTGTGGCACACCAAACAAATTTGCCAACCTGACAAAAAAAAAAAAAAAAAGATAAAATTTTGATTCATTCACACCAGACAGTTATTGTTGAGTTGGCTGTTGTCATTCTTTTATTTGACAATCTAGGGGGAAAGCAGTCAGTGCTCCTGACTAAAGAGTCAGGTATTGCATGTTTTAAAAATTCTCGCAGCTCACCAATGTGCCTGCCAGGGCACACTGGTTGAAAATCGCTGGTTTATACCAATGCCCGGTTGTATTTTCTTTATAGCACATACAGCCAAAAATACATGCTTGGTTTATATGTTTAATATCTGTGTCCTATCACTGTCATGAGTCCCGTGGGGTCAGCAGGGACCCTCTCTCATTCACAGCAGCTAGAATACTAGGTAGCACACAGCAGACATTCAATATTTACTGAATCAATATGAAAAAAAATGAAAATGATAGTATTCACTTTTACTTTTAGCATAGAGGTAAATGAAAATCTACCCTAGCACGGACAGGTTAACTTATTTTTGGTATATCATCAGTCAAGACTGGTATCTTTTTTTTTAAAATATTTTATTGATTTGTTTACAGAGAGGAAGGGAAAGGGATAGAAGATTTGAAACATCGATCAGCTGCCTCCTGCACACTCCCTACTGGGGTTGTGCCTGCAACCAAGGTACGTGCCCTTGACCGGAATCGAACCTGGGACCCTTGAATCTGCAGGCTGACGCTCTATCCACTGAGCCAAACTGGTTAGGGCAAGACTGGTATCTTAACCAGAGTCAGTTATTATGTAAATCAATTATCACTAAAGAAAAATATTGGTACTTCATATCAGGATTATCATTATATAAAAAAAGGAAATAAATTTGCCTTTAAAGTACTTTCCTCATGATAAGTTTCTAAATTAGATAAGGTACTGAACACTGAAAACAATTGAGGCACCTTCCAGATAAGCAGACACAAAGCCAGGACTCAGACTTGGCTCTACAATACGTGTGTCCTTTCTATTGGATCATGGATTTGCTGACACTATAGGTTACCAAGATATTTCAGAGCAGTTCCAATCAAAGTAGTAGTAGAAGTCAAAGAGCTATCTTAAAAATCACAGCAGAAATTTCAAATATTGTAACGTAGTGTGCAATGCCTAAAATATCAAGTATATTGACTTTAAGAAAAATTGATTCAGGTAACACTAACGTCCTGGTAATCAGGCATGTTGATTGGTTTGAAGAAAAATGAGGTTTTAATAATAGATGAGCTCGGTAGTCAAAAGCTTTTATAAAAACGTACCATTGGAGTAGCAGAGCAGGACCTCACACACCTACAGGACAACGTCCAAAATCTTCAGCATACAAAGCCGTTGTAGTCTGCCCCCTGCTTTGTTCCCAGCCACTTTTCACATGTCCATGAGTGTGGTCAGCTTCAAAATCGTCTAGAAAATCCCTGCGTAACTTTTACCAGCTCAAATGTAACCTCCTTTGTAATCTTTGTTAATCCATTCAGAAGCGGGATTATCTCTTATCTATGTTCCCAGATGAACTCTGAACATAATTTTTATTTTTAAAAGTCTTCTTTTAAAAAATGTTTTCTCGTCATAGCTGGTTTTGCTCAGTGGATAGAGCATCGGCCTGTGGACTCAAGGGTCCCAGGTTCGGTTCCAGTCAAGGGCATGTATCTTAGTTGCGGGCACATCCCCAGTAGGAAGTGTGCAAGAGGCAGCTGATCGATGTTTCTCTCTCATTGATGTTTCTAACTCTCTATCCCTCTCCCTTCCTCTCTGTAAAAAATCAATAAAATATATATTTTTTAAAAATGTTTTCTCCCTAGCCGATTTGGCTCAGTGGATAGAGCATCAACCTGCGGACTGAAGGGTCCCGGGTTCGATTCTGGTCAAGGGCACATGCCCAGGTTGTAGGCTCTATCCCCAGTAGGAAGTGTGCAGGAGATAGCCAATGAATAATTCTTTCTCATCATTGATGTTTCTATCACTCTCCCTCTCCCTTTTTCTCTGAAATCAATACAAATATATTTTTTAAAAATTGATATTAAAAATGTTTTCATTGATTTCAGAGAGAGGAAGGGAAAGGAAGAGGGGGATAGACACCAATGATGAGAATCATCGATCAGTTGCCTCCTGCACGCTGCCTACTGGGGATCAAGCCTACAATCCAGGCATGTGCTCTGATTGGGAATCGAACCTTAACCTCCTAGTTCATGGGTCGATGCTCAACCACTGCGCCACAATGACTGGGCTGAACATAATTTTAAGTGTAGTATATTACAGTATTTATTCTACTTTGTTTTCCTGGCTAGGCTATAAATGCTTGCTCAATTAAAGAAATATACAATTTAAATTCCTAAATCAATATGCAAAGCATCTGTCAGAGTAAATGTTCAACTATTATTGATCAAAATCATTAATTACTGATTAAATGAAAAGTCTTATTAGCATTGTTTATAATTAAACTAGAAGCCCAGTGCATGAAATTCGTGCACAGGGGAAGAGGGTATCCCTCAGCCCAGTCTGTACCCTCTCCAATCTGGGACCCCACTGGGATCGGGCCTAAATGGGCAGTTGGACATCCCTCTCACAATCCGGGACTGCTGGCTCCCAACCGCTTGCCTGCCTGCCTTCCTGATTGCCCCTAACCACTTCTTCCTGCCAGCCTGATCACCCCCTAACCACTCCCCTCCAGCCTGATCGACACCTAACTGCTCCCCTGCTGGCTGGATTGTCCCTAACTGCCCTCCCCTGCTGGACTGGGTCCCCCCCAACTGTCTTCCCCTGCAGGCCTGGTCCTCCCCAACTGCCCTCCCCTGCAGACCGTCTTGTGGCAGCCATCTTGTGTCCACATGGGGGCAGCCATCTTGTGTTGGAGTGATGGTCAATTTGCATATTACTCTTATTAGATAGGACTAGTAGCCCATCACGCGATATCACGTGCAGTAGGCTTCCCACCACTTCCACAGGAGCTGACAGGAACCGCAGTGTGCTACCTGGAGCCGTGTGGCTTCTGCGGGAGGCAGAAGTGAGCTGTGGTGCCCATGGGAGCCGGGAGGGAGCTGCACCACTTCTGCGGGAGGCAGGATGGACCCACGTTCATTCCATGGGAGGCAGGAGGGAGCTGCGCCGCTTCCGCGGGAGGTGGGAGGAATCCATGTTCATTCCGCGGGAGGCGGGAGGCGGGAGGGAGCTGCACCGCTTCTGCGGGAGGCGGGAGGGACCTGCGCCGTTTCGGCGGGAGGTGGGAGGGACCCATGTTCATTCCGCAGGAGGCGGGAGGGAGCTGCGCCGCTTCTGCAGGAGGCGGGAGGGACCCATGTTCATTCCGTGGGAGGGACCCATGTTCATTCCGCAGGAGGCGGGAGGGACCTGCGCCGCTTCGGCAGGAGGCGGCCTGCCATCTCCTCTCCGGGCCTGCACTCGGCTGCGGAGGCTGCGGGCCGGCCCCCAGTCCCTGTCTGTGTCCGCTTCGGGCGGCCAGCCCGAGCCAGGTGCAGCGACAAAGCAAACATTCCGCCAGGCCGCTCACGCTGCCTGTTCTCAGTGGCTGCCCCCGCAGGACTGGGGGCCTCCGGCGGGGCTGAGAGGACTGGGCGCTGCCATCTTGTGGCTATGGGGGCTGCCATCTTTGTGACAGAGTGACTGTTAATTTGCATATTACCCTTTTATTAGATAGGATGGTGCCTAAATGATTTAATCCACTGTGTGAAATGGAAGATTTCTTGGATATAACAACTATATCTAAAACCCCAGGAATTCAGGCCTACGCACACTATGTTTTTAACACACAAGTTTTTTGCTGCCCTGGCAAATTCTTCATTCTTTCTATATAGGTGAATTTAGTCAAGTAGAATGACCATCTGTAAGTTTCATTGTAGCTAAGAGGTTCTGAGAAAAATGGTCACTTCTCTAAATCTCTCTGCTATTTTGGTTCAACAAACTGCTTGTTCTCTGCTTAGAATTTTCCTAGATTTCTGACGACATGAATACACATCAAAGATCCTATTGCTGTTTTCTTGCAATGATCAACACCACTGCAGGTTAATCATAACAAACTTGGCAAATGACTAAAATAGCAGAAACATAAAATATATTATAGTCACTTTTAAATGAACTTACTGATTTATATTGCCACAACAAATGTTCATTTCCTGATGATCCCCTAAAAAAGATACAGATCTTTAAAATTTAATAAAAGTGCTCAGTGATATTTTAGTAATCCTTTGAACTATTATGCTTAACATTTATTAATAAGATCTGTGATCTCAACTTCAGTAAAATATCACTTAACATTGAATATTAAAATACAATGTATTGAGGCCCCGCCCTCTCACCCCCACCCCCACGCCAAAAAAAAAAATACAATGTATTGATAATCCTAATTTTAAAATTAAAAACCTAACTAATCATAGTATATATTTGTATAAAGTACAGCATATTATTAGTGTCTCAAGAGTACTAATTAAGATGCAGAGGAAAAAATTATATTTTTAAATTTCCTTTCAAAATCCTAACCCTCATTTGTTTATTATAAAACTGCCTTCAGTTAGTTATTTAAAAATATTTACAGAGAAAAGCCATCAAACAAGACTATTTTTGATTACTGTAAGATTCTAACACTTACATTCTTCTGAGTTTTCTTGAGCACCACCTTTAGAAGTGCTTGTTCGAATGATTTAATCTTAATCTTATTATGTTTATAAGCACAAACACAAACAACATACAGTACGAAAGAACACAAGAAAAATTGTTGGCTTTATTGGTATCACAGTGCTTTTATTTATTTATTTATTTATTTATTTATTTATTTAGGTGTCACAGTGGTTTTAATCCAAGGTAAATACAAACACAATTGTTAGTCACTTACCCTTCAAAACAATATGCCAAGATCAATCTTGAAGCATTTAAAAACATGAAAATGTATAAAATATCTTCCTTAATAAATTCTAAGGACTCCATATATAAATGCAAAAATTTGAACTTGTCAATAATCACATCAAATGTTGAACTACCAACTGAGCAGTAAAAAAACTTCTGATTTTAAAATTAAGTATCTACAGGTAAAAGCATGCCATTTCCCACATCTACTATCTTTGTATTCTGCACAGAGTTCCAAGGCACAGGTTGTTTCTGGCTTTATGAATTACCAGAGATGAAGATCTTTGTGGCTGACTTATCACAGGCCTTTTGGTCTTTTTTCCAGATAGATCCTTGGCTTCTTTGGGAGGAGGCACATGAATTGGTTTCCATGGAATTGGATTATAGAAGGCTGGTTCTGGATAAGAATTTCCATTGTAAAAACCTAAAATTATTAAAAAATCAGAACAAAACAAACAAGAAAAAAAACTTGAGATCAAAGAAACTAGTTATTTTTAAATTCCTAGAAAAAGGTTAAAATATCAAAAGGGCAAAAATATCACTGATAAATCAATCTGACTCAATTAAAATGAACTTTTGAATACTTTCAGGCAAGTGACTTTCCAAATACATATGTAAATACTGCAGTATAAATGAATATGTAAATGATAATTCTAGGAGTCCAAAGAAATGTTAATGTTAAAATCTATATAAAAATTTTACTAAGATTTTAAGTTTAGAACCCTTAAATTGAACAAAATCTTCATTTTTCTACTGAATCTGGAAAATCACTGACTATACTAGTTTCTCCTAACTAGACACTAAAGTTTACAGAAAACTAATTTACACTGCATATGTAGTTAAACTGAGTCAGATTCTTATTTAGAATCACTGAAACTCTAAATCACTGTGGCCCTAGCCAGTTTCTCAGTGGTTAGAGCACTGACCCGCGGACTGAAGGGACTCCGGGTTCAATTCCGGCCCTTTTCACATCAATGTTTCTTCTCTGTCTCTCCCCCTCCCTTCCACTCTCTCTAAAGATCAATAAAGAAAATATCCGCCCTGACTGGTTTGGCTCAGTGGATAGAGCGTCGGCCTGCGGACTGAGGGGTCCCAGGTTCGATTCCGGTCAAGGGTATGTACTTTGGTTGCAGGCACATCCCCAGTGGGAGGTGTACAGGAGGCAGCTGATCGATGTTTCTCTCTCATCGATGTTTCAAACTCTCTATCTCTCTCCCTTCCTCTCTGTAAAAAAAAAAAATCAATAAAATATATTTTTAAAAAATATATCCTCAAGGTAAGGATTAACAATAATAAATACATAAGTCTCTGTCACTCAAATTATTAAGATTTCATAGTATCACTGTAATTTTTATTATTAATTACGGAATGTGCTACTGGTAGGCTGTATCAGAAGTGATGTCCCCTATCTAGTAATTCTAAAGGAGGAACATTTTGTTAATCAGATTCAAATCCTACAGTCACTATATGCACATAAATTCCTTTATTTCATAATTTATAAAAATGATATGGGCATTAAGAATAGAGACTTAAGGGCACTTACAGACAAACATGATGCTTATTAGAATAAAACTCATTAAAAGCAAAAAAAATAATCCATTATTTTAACAATTCACTTCTAGTCAATATGTATATTCCCTCCTAAAGTTTTATCTTAACTGCCTAATTGTTTGGTTAAAACCACTGCTTATTTCATTTTTTTCAAATGAGAAAGAAAAAACGTGGAGTAGATCATGCTCAGTAGCTGTAGCGCATGACCTCTGTGACATGTAGGAGAGGCCCAATCCTGACAGCAGGAATGTGTCATTCAGACACTGGCAACCCACTCTGCCTGCATAGATATGTCAACACACACTTCACCAAGATGGTCAAAACAAAGTCTGGAATATGTTCTATTGTGTGAACAAAACAGAATGGGGGTATTTTTAATAATAAATCACTTAAACAAGTGAAGGCAGCTGTCAGCAAGGTATGAGCTTCCAACATGAAGGACAAAGAAAAACATGCACCACCATTTGTAATCAGACCAGCCTGAAGGCCAACCAGTTCTGAGTCGGCTTCATGTGCTGCCTAGTACTCCACCTGCAGAAGGAATGTGTCAAAGCATTGGGAGCTCTCCTCAAAAAGGGTTAGAAGGGGAGGAAAAATCACCCCTTAAAAATGTCCCGTTTAAAGCTTTATAATCAAAAAACATATAAAAATGTAACTTCTTTTTTAAAAATTTATTGTTGAAAATATTACATATGTCTCCCTTTTCCCCTCATTGACCCCTTCTAGTTCACACCTGCCCCTCGCCCCAGGTCTTCACCACACTATTGTCTGTGTCCATGGGTAATGCATATACAGTGGGGCCTTGACTTACGAGTTTAATTCGTTCTGTGACGGAGCTCATAACTCAAATTACTCGTATGTCAAATCAATTTGCACCATTACAATGAATTGAATGCTGGGCTGATGTTGTGGCGTTCACTGTGACGTTCGCTGCGCCAACTAGCGGTGGGGTATCTGAAGCTGGCTCGTAATCCGAATTTTAGCTCGCAACTCAAAGCAAAAAATCGCCCGAGAGATAGCTCGTATCTTGAAAAACTCGTTAGTCAGGACACTCGTAAGTCAAGGCCCCACTGTATGCATATAAATTCTTTGATTAATCTCTTCCCACCCACCCCACCCTTCCCCTCTGAGATTCAATAGTCTGTTCCATGCTCCTATGTTTCTGGATCTATTTTGTTCATCAATTTACTTTGTTCACTAGATTCTACATATGAGTGAGATCATGTGATACTTGTCTTTCTCAGACTGGCTTATTTCACTTAGCACAATACTCTCCAGGTCCCTCCATGCTGTCTCAAAGGGCAAGAGATCCTTCTTTTTCATCTGCAGTTTTGCAACTATTGCCTGTTAAATATATCTAATTTATAGAGAATGACAATAAATTTGTAGTATTCCACAGGAACATGATGTATTATAATATAATCTTCCAGAAAATAGTGATTTGAAAGAAAAATGATTTTTACACATTTCTATTTCTGTCAAGAAAAAACATAATGTATAATATTTACTTCTGCAAGTCATATTTATGTAAGCCACATAACATGAAAACCAACCTGTAAGTTTTCCATTGGCATAACCATAGCTTTTTGCAGCTGGACGAGGTTTATTTTTTGAATTTTCCAACCATTCCTTAAACTTTCTTTCTGCTATTTCTTTCTTTTCCTGCAATTCAGCTTGACGTTGTTTTTCTTTTTCCTTAAAATGACAAGACCAAAGAATCTCCAGGGATATTCTGTAACTAAATATTGTACTGACTTTTCCCCAGCAGCTTCCCACCCCAATGGCTTACTGATGATAAATAATAAATCATATTTCTCTAATTTGAGAGCAAAATTAAACATGATCAGGGATATGTATGAAGACTTCAAACCCAAGAAGAAAAAAGCAATTTGCTGTTTTAAAATAGAATAGTAATTTACAATAATGTAATAAAAGCACCACCAAAATTTAGCATTAACAATGATAAAAAGTTTGAACCTAACTGAAAAAATATCAACAGACATATTAACATTTCTCAACCTAAGAAAACCACAATGCATAATCATTTCTGAAGCATAAGCATAGTATAAGAAGTAGGGATAGCTTCATGTGTTTATTTTATGCTAAGATAGTGCCAATTTTCTATTAGAAACTTTTTAAACAATACATATAAACACCAAAGTAATGTATTCTAACTGGTTAAATACCTTTTCTTTCTTCTTCTTCTCACATTCTTCAGCATTTTTTTTCTTTAACCATTCTTGATATTTTTCTTTTGCTTTTTCTTGCAAATGCTCTTTCTCCAGTTCCTTTGCTGCTTTTGCTTCCATTTCTTTAGTAACTTTTTGTTCCCTTTCTTTCCTTTTCTTAAGTAAAAGTAAAGGAATTTTAATTGGAATGTTTGTAATTATTCTCATATGAGGATGGAGTGTTATCTACAGTAATCTAAATTTGTGTTATTTCTTAAAATAGGTAGTAACACAGTAGCTGACACAACGTGACTTGTGAAAATACATAACATACCTGCAATTACCTGGTCAATTTTAGTTTACCAACTCAGCTGTAAGATTCATTATGGCGCTAATAAAGTTCTTGTTCACCAAAGTATACTCAGAGCTTAAGATAGTGCTGAGTAAACAGTACATGCTCAATAAAGATTTGAATAAATTAGTGAACAGAAATTACAATGTTAGATTGCCCTGAATGTTTGTTTTTTAATGGATGTTTACCCTCTAAAATCGGAGCCACAAATGTACACATTCTTGGACAGTTTGACAATATGAATACTTGGATTAATCTTCACCATTAGTGAGTTACTGCCATTAGTGAGTTACAGAGAACAAATAACATTTGGTTCATTAAATATTGCTATAGGGGCACATACAGACAAATCTTTGGCTATGTAATTCTATGTAAGACCAGAAGTTAGCAAACTATGGCCTGAAGGCCAAATATGGTCCATCTGTGACCTATCACCTATATTTTTAAATAAAGTTTTATTGAAATGTGGCTACACCCATTTATTTACGTATTTATTGTCTATGGCTGCTTTTGTACCACAACCTCTAAGGAAATAAATTTCTGTTGTTTCATACTCAGCCTGTGGTGTTTTGTTATGGCAGCCCTAGTAGGCTAACACAATAAATAAGCTTATAAAAAGATGCTAAATATCATTGGATCTCAGGGAAGTGAAAAGTAAATGGCAATGACGTACCACTGCATATTGACTGAAATGATTTAAAATGAAACAGACTGACAATGTAATGTTTGGCAAGGATGTGATGCAATTGGGATTTTCATACAATAGCGGTGGGAATGTAAAATGATACAAGCACTTTAAAAAACAGTTTGGCAATTTCTTATAAAGTTAAACACACACTTACCACACAACCCAGCAATTCAGTTCCTAGGCATTTACCCAAGATAAAAGAAAACAAATGTCTACAAAAAGACTTGCACATAAGTTGTCATAGAATTTTATTCATAATACCTCAAACCAGAAACAAACCAACTGTACATCAACTAGTGAATGGATAAACTATTTGTGGTATTCCATAGAGTAGAATACTACTCAGCAATAAAAAGGAATGATCTTAATACATAGAATAGGGAATTTTAAAAACGAAAGAGTATACCTTCTATGATCCTATTTATATAAAATTCTAGAAAAGGCAAATCTAATCTGCAGGGACAGAAAGCAGACTAATGGCTTCCTTGGAGCTGAGGCTGGTTGGGGGTGGGGAGCAGGAGCCGAACACAAAGAGGTACAAGGGAACTATCTGAGTCAGCAGTTCTCAACCTGTGGGTCGCGACCATCGGAAAACACATATAGCATAGCAGATATTTACATTACGATTCATAACAGTAGCAAAATTACAGTTATGAAGTAGCAACGAAAATAATTTTATGGTTGGGGGTCACCACAACATGAGGAACTGTATTAAAGGGTCGCAGCATTAGGAAGGTTGAGAACCACTGAGTGATGGAAATGTCCTGTGTCTTGACTGTGCTGCTGGTTATACAGGAACGTGTTTGTCAAACTTCAAATCGGTATATTTTATTGTACATAAATTATGGCTCAAAGAAGTTGATTTTAACACACCACACAGGCTCTCCATAGGATTAAACTAGAGGAGAGAGAATGGAATACCTTCAGTTAGCGCAAGGAGAGCACAGCCTGCACGCAGGGAGGTGCTTAGAGAGAGGCAGCCACTACGTGGCTTCAGTTTTTCTGGCATTCCAGTTCTATTCCGCACAGAGCACAACAATAAATCTGCCCTTTGTAAAGATGGTGCCCTGCGAGAACCTTTGCTTCTTGAAACTGAAGGAAACTAACAAAACAACTGGCTAAGGTTTCTGAATTCCTCCTCTGGTTCCTTCAATAGTACCTGGCACACAGTAAAAGTGTAGAATGCATGAAGGTATACAGATAACAGTGTTACCAATCATACGCTTTGTTGACCCAAGTTAATTTAATTTTTTACATTAAAAAGATCAATTTCATGTTTTAGAAAATAAAAAATTTCACATTTATATAACTTTTGAAATAAGGAAGGTAAAGACCCTTATACAAAATATGTGATAACATACTGCAAAAAACAAATCTGAAAGAACGAATTAGTATGGCAACATAAATGCAAGAGTACCAGATGAGATAAGCCATTTATTTGAAACAGATTTAACAATTTACAGTCATAGTATAAGAAACTAGCTTTGCTAATGGATACATAAATCCTTTTGTCTGGTTTTTTGACAGAACACAGTGAAATGACTTAGAGAAAATAAGGCCACAGATCCAGCTAAAATGTGAATGAGGCTGGAGGCAGCGGAGGACCACACACCATGAAATGTAAACAGAGGAGGAAAAAGCTAGATGCCAGACAGAAAGAGAAGAACCAGGAGAGCAGTCTTTACAAACAGAGGTAAATGTAACTAAGACTGAAATAAGAAATCTGATAGGTTTTAAAGGAAAAAGAAATTTGAGTAATCAGTTATTTCTTAACATGCACAAGACTTCTGCAGAATAAGTAAACTCAATTTCTCAGGGTCCTTTTGTCAACTATTCCCAACCTTGTGGAATCCTGCTTTCAATAATTAGTGATTGATGTCAGGGCATGCCATTTCCCTCCAGAAGAAAAAATTTTTCTCAAATAATTGGATTAGATCTACTGCCACTAATTAACACAGAGAATATATCATCTCTCAGCAGTATCTTACATTCTTAGACAAACAACAACTATGTTTGATTGGCATGGTAAAATGAGCTTAATGGAGTTAGAAGATAAGAGAAGCTTTTAGAGGAAAGAGCATGCTATTATTGTATACACGTAAAACTCTTTTATTTTTCAGTTATTTCAAAAAAGTATCACCCAAAGCCTGGTAATGGTCATATAGACTTGTTTTGATTTTGGCATTGATTCACAAGGAACTCTTTCTTGTATTATGGAATGATGCTAAATTAATTATAATCAAGATATACTTCTGAAGTAAAGAACAAATAAATACATTTATGGCTAAAACACACATATGTCTAGCCAATTTCCTTCTTACTATACCTGGAGGAAGAAAGCTACGTCATCTTCAAATTGCTTAAATGATTTAGTAGATACTCTACTAATATCACTAGGCTTTATAACAATATTTAAGGACAAAAATTTAAGATTAAAAATTTAAAACTTTGCCCTACAATTTAAATATTTAACTATATTCTTAAAATTTTATTATAATTTAAAAAGCAGTATCATTCTACATACTCACAAGATAATAAACTGACAAGTATTTACAAAATTTTTAACTTGTGATCCAGTACAAGAATGTATTAAAATTAAAAGGAAGATAATACCATTTATTCATTTGTTCATTTATTCATTCCAACAGCAAGTCTACTGTATTATAAAGCATTATATTAGATATTGTGATGAATTAAAAATATAAACATTAATTCTACCCATAATTCTTAAAATTACAAAGAAAATGAAGATATGTACACAATACAAAATAGCAATAAAATATATAATAATACAAGGTATACCTGACAAAGTGATAAATGTGAACAGGATTCAGGAAGGAAAGAGTTTCTAGCATGTGATCAGCGAATGCTTCCTATAAGAGGAAATGCTTTGAGTTGGATAATGAAGGGAAAGGTAAGGTGGAGAATATAATGAGATTCCAAGCTGATAAAATATCATAAAAAAATGAAGTGAGAAACAGAAGAAAATGTCCTTAGCATTTCTCATGAACACATCCCTGGGGCCTGGACAGTATAGTCCAAAGCTCTAAAGTTCTCTGAAATCTATTGTGTATCTTAAAAATCATATAAAACTTATGTTCTTTTCCATTAAGTATCTGTGCTTGCTTTACCAAAAAAAAAATTTTTTTTCTCTCAAAATTTTCCAGTAAAACTAATACTCTAAGAAGATTGGCTATACATATCCTAGGTATACTCCCAAATGAACACCAGTAAGAATCGACAGCATAGAATAAGGAAACCACAGGCAGGGGGACTCTTTCCCCCTCCCCACGTGGGAGTCTGTACTTATTCTTCAATAAATTTCCACCTTTGCTATAAAACAAACAAACAAACAAATTAAAAGAAAACCTACAGGCAGAAGAAGACATGGCACCAAAGGCAGAGAGGAGAAGGTCTTTAACTGGCCAGGCTAGAAAAATCGATGCCCTTATGGAGCTTACATTCCAATATGGGAAAATAAACAAACAAACAACACAAGTTGAATGATGTAATGAGACCAGACAGGAAGAGATCACAACAGGAGTGACTGTAAAGGAAAGGAAGGGATGATGACAAATGACAGAATTCTGATTATGCCCAGGTGACTGAGATGACAGCAGTACTAATAGCAGTAATCGAGCAGTTAGGAGAATGGTTCTATCCAAGGAAAATGGGCAAAAATGGATTGTTTTAGATTTTCAGGCTCAGAGGTGGAAACAACCATATAGTCGGAAATCCAAGACCCCAGGAGGTCAGGTGTTAGAGGTACAGACTTCATGATTACCTGGAGGCCACATGTGGGAAAAGGGAGAGAAGCAGAGAGCAAAGGGCAGAAGACAGAAACTTCATAAATGTCCATGAGGGTAAGAAAAAAATCAGGTCAGAGAAGAAAGAATCTAAGAGAAAGTAAGAAAAACCTAGGCAATGAGGAGTCATAGAAAGAACACTTAGCAAAAGAGATGTCAGGATGTATGTGTGCAATTTTTCTCCTCACCTGTTCATTCTTTTTCTGAACCCATTCCTTGTGTTTTTCTTCAGCAATTATCTTTCTTTTTTCACGTTCTTCCTTTTCTTTTATTTTTTCTAGCTGTTGAGTTAATTCCTGTGAATTTTATTCAAACAAAAGGCAACTTCATAATAGAAGTACTCAAATCACATATTTTTTAAAAGGCTGAGGTTAACCAAATTAAACAAGGACATAGTTTCCTTTATAGAAAATACACCATTAGTAACAATAACTTACTTAAGTAACTAGTCTATGATGAAAAGAAAACATTGGTAAAAAGTATAAGTCATTTTTTAGAAATGCAAATAATTGCTTGGCAGCAAAACACTAGTTTCTTAGACTAAACTTCAGCTAAATTACCCTCATTGAAATCAACTTTCCCACACATAAATTTTGGCATCACTGTACACTCTTGGCAGAAGCTCAAGGGAATTGCAACTTTTTTTTACAGTTATAAAAAGCTTCCAGATTCTTGAGGAAGATAAAGAATAGGAATTAAATAATCCCTAAATTTAAAATTTTAATTCAGTCATACAGAAGGCATTCCATTTTCTTTAGGGAAAAAAAAACCAAGGTTTTTCCTCACTCATTTTATAGCTGCTGGAGTGTAACACAAAACCACATTCATATCCCATAGGCCTTGCTGTCACTGGAATCTACACGTTTGGGCATTTCCTCAGAAGAAAGAATGTGGAAGGTATGGCCAAATAAAACTACAAGCTCAGTGCCACCAGTCTGTCACTCATCAGTTAAATTACTGCATTAGTTGAGAATGTTGTTCAAACTAGACTCCTAGGACTCTACTACCATAATTATTAGTTATTTTTCTTCTCTCTCCTTAGATACTAATAATCAGATACTTTTATGTCTCTTCCACTGGACCTCACTCCTCCCTCCCTCTCTCCCTTTCCCAAAGACCTGTCTACCTGAGCATGAGTGGGAGTGGAAAGGACAAGTTTGCAACTCTCAGACAGTTCCAGTGTGTTACATGACATGAAGATAAAACTTGACACCAAGAAAATATGGTTTGCACTTTAGAACAACTGATGCACAGGACACCTGTCTTCCATGTCCCAGCATCCTATAATTCCACTGCATAGAAAAGAATTGCCCTCACTCATTTCCAACTTTTAAACATCATACTCCCGACAGCCTCCAGAGTAAAACAGCCATCTTGGTTTTAAAAACATTCTTCATTACCTCTGCAGCTGCAATACCTTGATTATTCACTTAATACTTTTTTTTTTTTTAATTGCGTGCCTACTATAAAGATAGCATGCACTGAGACACAGGGATGGAATTCTGGAAGTCTTTGAACTAATCTCCTATATACACACAAGACTTGAGTGCTACATTGTGAGGTATTGTGTATTAAGTTTAGAAAAGGGAAAAGAACGGAAGGGAAGAGGAGAAGAGAAACATTGTAGGCCAGAGTGGTCAAATATGAGCACCGTAAGAGGAACAGAGGAATTGACTTGACTAGAAAAGAGAGATTGGGGGTGATGGGTTGGTGTGTGGTAACTAGGTGGGAAAAGGTCTTTTGAGACAAGAGAGTAAATTGAACACTATGAAGCCAGAATACATGGCAAATGGATGACTTAGAACTCAATGATAAAGGCTAAAAACTGCATTACAAGGGTCAGAACTATTCTGAGGGAGACTGACTAGGAGATTGTCACAGTATGTGAGTTGTAAGGGAAATGACTGAACTTGAGCCAGGAAATAAAAAGGGGGAAACATGTCTGTCTGTCTGTACGTACATACGTACACACATATGTACGTACGTGTGTGTGTGTGTGTGTGTGTGTATGACAGGCTATGAACAGATCTAACACTCATATATCCAAATTTCCCTATATAGTCCTCAATTTTATTTTATTTTCAAGAAAAGTAATCATTTATGCCCTGACTGGTTTGGCTCAGTAGATAGAGCGTTGGCCTGCGGACTCAAGGGTCCCAGGTTCGATTCCAGTCAAGGGCATGTGCCTTGGTTGCGGGCACATCCCCAGTGGGGGGTGTGCAGGAGGCGGCTGATTGATGTTTCTCTCTCATCGATGTTTCTAACTCTCTATCCCTCTCCCTTCCTCTCTGTAAAAAAATCAATAAAATATATTAAAAAAAAAGTAATCATTTAAATATACAAGTAAAGAGTGATTGATTATATTTATGTACCCTTTTAAGATTCTTCATAAAAGTAAACTCAAAAATCAGAAAGAAAAATCAGACTTTGTGTTCCTATTTTATGGCTCACAAATTTTAGTTAATGTTGACATAAGAGTTAAAGATAAAGGAAGGGTCAAAAAGTATGTAGAAAATACTACCCCAGACCCAGACAGTGCTCTGATCTCAGGATGTCTGCTAAAGCACCCCCCCCCCGCCCCCCCCCCCCCTCCCCGCAGAATACACATCACACCCGGACACAGAGCACTCCCTTCCCTGGCTCGCTCCCAGCATTCCCACCCTGAATGCCTCCATCTGTCCCCACCAAGCAAGCCTCCTCTGGACATGGCTGGAGCCTTCTCTGTCAAGGCCCCTAGGTCGTTTTCTGGTACACCACTGAATCGCAACAGGATTACAGCTATTTTCCCACAGAGTAAACGCTTGATTATAGAAAACCAAAATGCAAAGAGGATCCTAAACAGCACTTTTATTTCAATAGCTTTTGTCAACTTTCAAAGACCGGAGTTTACCACTGAAGGTAACAATCACAAAAACTAACAGTTTTGAGTTTCAAAAACTCTGTGTCCCGCCCTATTCACTAAGGGCTGATGAATGAAATGGCCAAAGGCAAACTGGGGAAAAGCCCTCGCATTATTCACAAACTAGACAATTTCTATAATTTAGAACAGATTGTACTAAAATGCTAAAGCAAATGTTAAAAATTAGAATTAACAAAGGCCATAGAGAATTCAGGGCAGTCTGTTAAAAGAATTTTTTTATGTAATAAAAATTTAAATAAAATTTATATGATCTACAAAATCAATGTTAGTTTTTTATAATACTGATATTCAACACTTGTCATATTTATCATCTTAACAAAGTTTAATTTTTTTTAAACTTTGTAAGTGGGTAATTTTGATGGGTTAAAATAATTTCTTAACTCAATCTTATAGAGATGTCTGAAACAAATCTAAATGTCTGTTACTGAAATCAAATATACAAGAAGGTATGTTCTTTTTAATAACCAACTATCCTTTAAATTTTCCTTTAAGTTATTAAGAAAAACAATAAGAAAGCCAGGGTAAATTCAAAATTAAATACTAAGTCTGACCCATTTATTTCTAAAATACATCTTAGTATTGTGGAAAAAACACTAAATTGGAAGTCAAAAACTATGATCCAATCCCATATTAGCCACTAACTAAAAACCTTGGCAAAGTTACTTTCTGGCCCTCATGTTTAACAGGGATCTGAGATGAATTGTTCCTTATACAAATTGTACTTTTAATGATATGATTTATAAACAAATTAGAGAAAGCAATAAATAAGAACAAAAAATAAGGAAAGCATAACTTACAAAATAAAACAAAGAGAAAGGCATGAAAAGAACATGAATACCACAATAGCTCAAAATAAGCTTGTAAGAAAGTGAGGAGTTGGCCCATAAGTTATATTACTGGCATGACTGATACAATAAGATTCATGCTAAAATATTTTAATTGCTTTAGAGCTAAGTAATGATGTAGATGTTATAAGATATAAGAAATGCCATTACTAAATACATGAAAAGGTTTTCATCTTTCAACCAATTATACTCATACATGCTTAATCACTGTGGTAGGGATTTTATATTCATTATTGTAGTCTGTTCTCAAAACAAATCTTCAGTAGTTTATTATCTCCTTTAACACAAAATAACAACTAACTTTTACTGAACACAATCAAGTAAAAACGGTTTTTCCCCTTTCACTGGTAAAGAAATCTAGGTGGAAAGAGATGGTAAGAATTTGCCCAAGGTCCAAGTTTTGAATCCAAGGACGGCTCAAGAATTTACACTTTTAAACACTCTACTATTGACTCTCTAACATTTGGCTTACAGATGAAGAGAATGAGGCTCAGAGAAGTTAAGTAATTTTCTGAAGGCCACAGAGTTAGAATAGCAAGGCTAAAATTTCAGCCTTGTTCTGGTGTGACCCCAAAGCCCAGGCTCCCTTATGAATTTCATTTCTTTTACTGTATGCTGACTCTAAAAATGACCTTCAGGTTCTTTTTTGTTAAATATGTTTTTATTGATTTTAATGAGAGGAAGGGAAAGTAAGAGAGAGAGAGAAACATCCATGAAAGAGAAACATCAATTGGCTGCCCCTTCCACACCCCCCGACTGGGAATTGAACCAGTGAACTTTTGGTTCATGGATTGACGCTCAACCACTGAGCCACACCGGCCAGGGAGACTCCTTTTCCTAATGTAACAAGTGACTTCTAATGAGGCTAGAGATAAACATAAATATCATAAACTAAATTCCACTTTACCACTGACTCACTAAAGCAGTATTTTCCAAACTGACTCTAAAACCAATTGAATAGGTTATAACAGGCCTTTAAAACAACCCCAAAATAAGGCCTTGGCAGATGTGGCTCAGTTGATTGAGTGTTGTTCTATATACTGAAAGGTTCCTGGTTGATTCCCGGTCAGTGCACATGCCTGGATTGCAGGCTTGATGGATGTTTTGCTCTCACATCAATGTTTCTCTCCCTCTCTTCTTTCCTCTCTCTCTAAAAATCAGTAAAAAAAAAAAAAAATTTTTTTTCAAGAATATAATAGGCTACCAGGTTTTGCAAAAATTAAGATATTGTTTCAAATATGTATGTGTGTGTGTGACATGAAGCAAAGTAGATTTCTCACCATGAACAAATATTTTGAAAACTACTGAACTAAGTAATGGAGGGTCTGTGGTCTCAATAATACAAACTAATGCTGAAAATAAGTGAAAAAGCTTTAGTGAGGCTGTGAATAATAATATCAATAACAATAAAATAACACCAGCCATTTTTATACTTTGTCTCATTTAATCCTCACAAAAATTCTGTGACACATATTACTTTATCCTTATTGTACAGATAAGAAAATTGAATGAAGCATAAATTTAAATAGGCCTGCCTTACATCAAACCACAGGGTCTTTCTCAGACTTTGTGGCCTTCTAAGAGGAAACAAGTATTACTGTGCACTTTTCCAGGCATAAATCTGTAGTTTAGAATACAAAGTATCATGAATAGGGAAAGAGCAGAAGGTACTGATTTCTACAATCATTTAAATCATGCCAAGCCTCGTGGGTTTCAAAACTGATGTGGAAAATTTATTCCAAGGAAGATCATGGAGGGCGAAGTTTTAATTCCAAGAATTTTTATGACAACATGATTACTAATAAACTTAAATATCCAACAACAGTGAATCCATTAACTATATCCTAATATATATTCAATACATTTTAAGTATATTTTAATAATCTTAGCCAGTCATTTAAAAATGACATTGTAAAACATAAATAAAAAATAAAAAAATAAAAATGACACTGTAGAAATATTTAATGATATTGAAATATATTAATAAATGTAACCAGTAGAAAAAAGCACGTTACAAAAGAGTTTGCTCCTAGTTCATTAAAAAGGAGAAGTATCCCTCACCACTCAAATCTACTTGTTTTCTGTGATGGGAAAGGGAGAATTTAGATAATGAGTCCAGATATGGAAAATACCAAATTATCCAAATATATTTGGCTGCTAGGTTCTAAAGAGCAAATAGTAAGAGTTCAAAGAATGAGGGATTCATGTGAAAATGTAGCTCAAACTATTATTTCAGCTTGGAGGTGAGAGTTCAGATAGAAAATCACAAATACAGAAATATCCACAAGCAAGGCAGGGAAGCACGGAGAAGCTGAAAACCTCCCGCAAGCCCAGCAGATTCCAATCTCTCAGCACAAACTCACTCTAGGGCACAAGCTCTGAGTAACATGTGGGTAGATTCTTATCTCTATTTCAATTTTTGTTTATCTCCTTTCCTAAAAATTTTACCAAGTATATGTAGTTGAATTTACTTTAGTTAAATGTAGATATGGTGACGCTCCACTGTATGTATCTGTATATATACACTTGCACATATTTATTTTTTAAATTATATGGAAGAAAATCTGGAAAGCTATACACCTTAATGTTAACAGTGGTTATCTTCAGGTAGTGAGATTAGAGAAAATTTTAACTTTTTAAATTATGCTTAGCTCTATTTTCCAAATGTTCTTATAATGACCACGTGTTAATTCTACAATACGCGTTACTGACACCAACAAATGCAGACACTTTGTTTTGAGGGATAATATTAACATTTTCATTGCAACAGCAGCTCTACTTTTTGAGCTCATGGATTAAATGAAGAGAATGCTGTCTAATTTTACCTCTAGAGCTTTCTGTTGCAGGCGGCCACGTTCTTCTTTTTCTTTGCCAACAAACCACACTTCCCATGGCGTCAGGCTGCTCTCTGGTAAGCACACCTGTTTCTGTTCTTCTTGGTTATCTTTGGATTCAACCACCCTATTGCAAAAGAGGGGACACTACAGCACTTGTACTCTTTGGCTTAACAGTCAAAATCACTTCGCTGTACAGTGAAAGTAGAATTTAATAATCTATTTACAATACTGTAATTTTTGTAAGTAAATATATATGAATTACATATATACATTTGAAAAAGCACAAAAAGGAACTCCAATATTTAAATTAGTTTATCCATAAACTGCTTTTGAATGCCTTCATCTTCTAAAATCACAGTGTTTTAAAAATCTATTGCGATAAAACACACCCAGTCCATCTGCCTCAATGACAGTATCTTTTTCTTAAAACTCTTATATCTGGACAACTAATTACACCACATGATCTTAATCAGATCCTGGAGCAGACATTTCCCTTCTTCTCCCTTAAATACCTAAGAAAAACAAATATATATATATATACAAATTATCTATATCTATCTATCTATCTATCTATCTATCTATCTATCTATCTATCATCTATAGGTATAGATAGATAGATATAGATATAGATAATTATGGCTAATATGCAAAGTGTCCACTCAGGAGTTCGACCGGGAAACCGGTAGTTCGATCGCTCGCTATGACAGGTGCTGACTACCAGGGGGCAGCGGAGAACGTGGTGGGTGACCAGTGGCAGCGGCGGGGCACTGAGGGAGCTAGGGAAGGAGGAGGCGGGGAGGCGGGGAACCTGATTGGCCCTGATTTCCGGCCAGGCTTAGGGACCCTACTCATGCATGAATTTCGTGCACTGGGCCTCTAGTGTATATATAAAGCAAATGTGTTAACAATTAGGGATTATGGGTGAAGGGTGAACAGAAATTCCGTAAATGCTCAATTTTTCTCTAAATATAAAATTGTTTTTAAATAAAAAGTTACATAACAGTATATGGCCGTGGTACTCTTTAGCATTTTGGTTGACTCCCTTTTGCCAGTTCTCAGACAGGGTGTGTGTATGACTCTCCACAGTGTGGTTACCCCCTACCAAGCTCACCATGTACCTCTCTCAGACTGTCTTTTCTGGGTCTGGGGAAAAGTAACTACTTACTCAAGCTGAAAAGAAGAAGAGAGGGGAAAAACTCTAAGTACGCAACTAAATACAAAACACAGGGTTCTGGCCAAATACACAAGCTTCCTAAAACAGGAAAAGCTGGTCAGCACCCAGAGAAAGAAAGTTCACTCAGAACCCAAGGCAGCTCTAGATACTAGATTATATAGACTCAGCGCTTCATTCCTACTTCGGGCAGCCAACTGCCTAACCCCGTGGTCGGCAAACTGCGGCCCGCGAGCCACATGCGGCTCTTGGGCCCCTCGAGTGTGGCTCTTCCTAAGCCTTAGGAGTATCCTAATTAAGTTAATAACAATGTACCTACCTATATAGTTTAAGTTTAAAAAATTTGGCTCTCAAAAGAAATTTCAATCATTGTACTGTTGATAATTGGCTCTGTTGACTAATGAGTTTGCCGACCACTGGCCTAACCCACTGCGGAATTTTTATTCTAGGGGAAAAGAGATACTAGATGTGTTGTTTACTTCTTCTATGTACCTTTCCTTCTCAGTCTTATAGAACAACCTTATTGGCTCCCATAGTTTCAGCTATCTCTAAGTGCTGATGATGTGTGAAACAGTTATTCCAGACCAGGTCTTTCTCCTGAGCTCCAGGCCTTTATTTCCAACCATCTGATAGACAGCTCCACTTCAATATCAAACTCAATCAATCCAAAACAAGTCTAATCGTCTTTTAACATGTACCCACTACTCTTCCTCACCAAGAAAAATTGCACACCTCTTCTTACAATCCTACCTCAGTGAAGGGTACCATTACCTCCCCAGGTGGCCAAGGCAGGAACCCAGATCTCTGACTCCTCCTGCTCCCCCCCTCCCCCATCCCCCACACCCACATAACCACTAGTTATGTCTATTCCAATTCTTTCCATTTTCTCAAGCCACTGTCGGGACATAACTGGTCTTTCTCCCTTCATTTATAATCATTCTCCACCCTGTTGCCAGATTCGTCCTTCAAACACATCCTTCTATCATGTCACTCCCCATCACAAAGTCCTTCAGTGGCTCCTCTGTCCACAAGATGAAATTCAAACTCCCGATGCCCATGAATTGGCCCCTATCTTCCAGCCTCTTCTTTCACCAATGGCGGATCCAGACTCTACATTTTAGTTCTGTTTGAACATAGGGAGATTGATGAATGTGCCATGCTCTTGTGCTCTGCAGCTTTGCCTAAAACTCTGAAATTCCTTTCTTCCACCTCCACAGATGGCCAAAGTAAGGGCTGAGATATGGGAGTAACATTTGGGGTGCATCTCTGTTTCTTCCTAGTGTAATTTTGTAACCTCTTTAAGCCTCCATTTTCATCTGTAAAATGGAGATAACAGTGGCTCCCTGCATTACTACTAGATGAGACAGGCCATGCTAAAGCACTGAGTACAGTTCGAGCATGCGGTAAACATTTGGTACATGTCATTTAGAAGTAGGAGGAGGAGGACTATGGATAATTCCTACTGTCTCGTCAAGATTCAACCCAGGCTCATTATCTTTACTGCCTTACAGTGAAACTCTGCAAAAAATCTGGAATAAGCACCTTGGGCTTTCTGTCGCTTGCCCATCTCTGCCATAGGCCATGAATTCCTAACAGGTCTTAACTCATTCTTTATTTCAAGAATCTACCTTAGGGCCTAGAATAGAGTAGGCTCCTAAGAAATGTTTGTTGAGAGAAGAAATTAGTGAGAACAGTGTTTTTTTTAAGAAAATGACGCTTTAAATATTAAATTTCTTGCCTTAATATTTTTAACAAACGTGTTCAAAATGTTTGACATATATAACTCTACCCATAATCAAGAAAGGTTTGATAAGCAGCTGTTTATGACCAAAACCTTTATTAAGACGGGTTTCCTAATGGAGAGCAATATAAAAACCAGGATAAAACTCACCAAACAGCAGGCCCAACACATATTCTAAGACTCCAGGAAAATACTCATTATCTTGTCCGAAGTCAACGGTGAGCTTCACCTCAGTCCACTGGAAAGTCAATGCATCCTCTGCGCATGGCCCTATTGACACCTAACATATCTTGAGTTCTTATCCATCATGTGCAGCTGATGCCTGAGTCTAGCTCAAAAAAGCCTTACCCTATAAGTTTTGCCACCGTCAGATCACTGTGGCAGGTGAAGGATGGAGAAAAGGCAGCTCTACATTTATGCCCTAGTCCACAGAGATTACCCAGAACTGTGGCTGGACTACGACTCAGACCGCCTGCTCACCTCATCCCATTCGGCCCCAAACTGTCCAGGGCACCAACTTAAGGTTAGACGTAGGCAGAATGAAAAAAAATTTTCAACACTTATCCTTCCTGAAAAGAAGTGATAACTTGTCTGAAGTATCTGAAGAGAGTCCCTGCATCTATGATTCCTTTGAATCATAGGGAATGGACTGTGATAAGGAAGACAGCCTTGGCTCTAGGATGCCACCAGCTCATTTGGGCTTTGGCTAAGGGGAGACATAAATCCGTCCAGCTCCTCTGGTCAAGGCTTTGGAGCTTGGAAGCTAATGCAAGGTCTCAGAAGCCGAGCTGTGGTTTTGATGGCCAGCATTCCTTAGGCTGCTCAACTGTGTCTACATTGTCTTGTTGATTAGGCTGAGAAAGTATTTTCCAAAGCCTTAAACTTTATTTTAAAAATCTTTGGAGCCAACTCAGTCCAGAAGAATCCCTACAGACCCGCATGAAAATGGACTCCTTAAAGTCTACTTCTACCACTAGTTCTACTATCAGGTTGATCAAAGGCCTGTTTCTTGTTGCTACAACCAGTCTGAACAAGTGACTGAATGGCTACTCTTACTGAACTCCATTCCCACCAATGTAATTACTTCTGCTTCTCATTGTTAAGAGTCTCACTGTTGTAAAACTATGTATGAGAGTCACTTCATATGGTTCCATATTCCATTCACCCACTCTGGTTATGAATGCCTTATATGAAGGAGATTATCTTGATGCTTATACATAAAACACGGGTCTATATTTCTTAGATTAGAGCTCCTGTACTATGCCTTACACCAGTGATGGCGAACCTATGACACGCGTGTCAGAGGTGACACGCGAACTCATTTTTTTGGTTGATTTTTCTTTGTTAAATGGCATTTAAATATATAAAATACATATCAAAAATGTAAGTCTTTGTTTTACTATGGTTGCAAATATCAAAAAATTTCTGTATGTGACACGGCACCAGAGTTAAGTTAGGGTTTTTCAAAATGCTGACACGCCGAGCTCAAAAGGTTCGCCATCACTGCCTTACACTAATGGATAATCGGAAACTTGTAACTGTTTTCTGAAGATGACATCATGAACCTACTCCAGAATGGACCTGCATTTCTATGCCTGTCTCAGAAAAACATACTCCTGCAGGAATGGGCCCTTTGTTCCCATTTCTACATATCCAGTAATAGGCATCTAGTACAGGGAAGTGATAATGCAATTTGCTGTAGCTTGGTACTAGGCCCAACCAGCTCTGCTAATAACGGGGTGTATGCCTTTGAATCAGACTTTTTATTTGTATTCCGAGCCACAGTTTTAATATCTGTAAAACGAGTGACTTGATCTAGGCTTTAATTCCACGGGAGTAGAGACCATGTTTATCTTGTGTATAGTCCCTAGTAGGTAGACTGATATGTGACACAAACTAAATGTTTGCCAAAAGAATAATTGTAGAAATAAACAAATTACGATGGTTTTAATCATCTCTTTGGTCCTAACAGTCTTTGATTCAGTGACTCCTATGCCACTGTTCAGTGCTCAGATCAGACCCAAGGTTGTCTCTGGATAATGAGGTTGACATTGTTAAACTCTCTCTGCTTCATCTCCTTATTTGTGACAAAAAAAAGTATACTGCTTCTGACAAGCTACTTCACTGGCAATCAGGTTTGTTTTGTGTGTTTTTTCCCCAAATAACTACCGGTACTACCAAGGTGCAGTGGGCCATGTTTTGGTGTTAAGAGTTTCGACAAGATGCTCAGCCGGCGGGTCTCAGTGGTTGAACATCGACCTATGAACCAGGAAATCACGGTTCCATTTCAGTCAAGGGCACAGGCCCCGGTTGCTCGATCCCCAGTGTGGGGCGTGTAGGAGGCAGCCAATCAATGATTCTCATCATTGATGTTTATCTCTCTCTCTCTCTCTCCCTCTGAAATAATTTTTTTTTAAAGTTTGGACAAGAGTTCTGGTGCTCACAATACGATTTTTGAGTGTTTATACAACTCCTGAAATGGTAGCAAAATTGTGTGTGTTTGAGACTATGTACTTCTATCTGGGAAGTGAGACTGTGGCAGTCATCATATCCTCAGTTTGAAAAGGGATTAAGGATCACAGAAAACGTGAGGTCATGTGTGCAGAAAGGAGCACCGCCGCACAGCCCCTGGGCCTCGGCGGGCGGGCTTTCGCCGCAGAAGGAGGTGCACGGAAGGGCCTGCGGCGGCCTCGCTTTTACCTGGCGCGCCCCTGCAACTCCACTCCTCCCGGGCTCGCCCCCTCGGCCTCCGAGTCGTGGGCATCTTCGTCCACTTCTTCTTCATCCGCCGCGTCGCCGTCGTCGTCAAACGCGAAGCTCTGGCGGCAGAGGGGAGACAAGAGCGAGCGGGTGGAATCGCTGCAGCTCAGCCGCGGGGATGGCGAGCGCACCGCCACCGCCACCGCCTCCAGCCCCTGCCCGCGGGCGTCCGCCGTGAGCGCGGAGACGGAGCCCGAGGAAGGCCGCGACCGGGCGCTGCAGTCTGCCGGGAACCAGGCGTGGGAAGGGGGCCGAGCAGCCCCCCACCGCCCCGCCGCCCACATCGGGCCCGCCACGTTCAAACCGGCGGAGCGGCGGCGGAGACGTGCTCTCCCAGCAGGCCCCGCGCGCGCCGAGCCTGGCCAATCAGGGCGGGAACAGGCCCGCGTTGCCTGGGCGACGCGTGGACTCCGTGCCGGCTTTGTTCCGGCCTTCGGGCCGGGAGTCCTCCGCCAGGGCCTGTGTCGCCGGCCAGGTAAACGCGCTTCCGCGAGCGGCCAGATCGCGTCCCCATGACAACTTTGCGGGCCTGTCCTTTGCTGGCGGTGGTGTTGCAGTTCACTTTCTACAGGAAACAGGCTGCCGCTAAATAAGACAGATACTTTTAAAGGGAAAGAGGCAAAAGTCAGAATTACCCCCATATCGTTACAAGGTCAGGAGTATAAGCATCAGTCAAGATTTCTTTCAATACACGACCACATTTTATGAGGGGAGCAGAAGCGAACTTTATCCATCTGTACAAGTGAGGTCAATTTAGAATAACTTTTTAGGAAAAAAATTTTTAAATGTTTTGGTTAGCACCTCCTTTGCTGGTCTATCCATGTGAATGTGGGGGCCTCTTTGAACCCTCTAGTGTGCTAGCATCTGCGCTAGACACCGGATATTTGGATGAGTAAAATAAAAACCCTGCAGGGACAAGGTCCTCATTCTCTTGTGAAAAATCATACTACTCTTCTGTGGAATGCGTTTTATGAGGAAAGGAAAAATGTGGGACCTCGGAAGGAGCACCCTCTTAGGGATTGGGGATGACAGTAGCAAGGGAGAGGTGGTAATAAATCTGGATGCTTTTTTCATGCTGACAAAACTGTAACACTTGTAAATAAATATGGTTTTGTCCAGCTCATAATGCATATTGCTCTAGAAATACCACAAAGTGAAAACTGACAGAGGCTAAAACAGCACACAAGATTTGTTACTGACCATCAAGTGGTACAAAATCTTTGATGAAATTTAGATCTGCAACATTTGACAAAGGAGAATTAAATATGATAGAAACAATAGCAACCAAGGGCAATTCAGAAGGCAGAAGCTATAATTAATAAAAATATGACATGGAAAACAGTTTAAATGAATGCTAATTTTGCCTCAATATTCAGTAAAAACAATATAAATGGAAGAAAATAGCAATTTAAATGAGTAATGAAACTAATCAAGGAATAACACTTGGTTAATGGAGTTTTCATTCTCTACCCCAGTTAGTCAATATCAGCATATTTGTCTAAAATCTTTTATGAGAACATCTCTAGAATCAATAAGAGCATCAGAAGGCCCCAGAGCAATCTAGGGCAGAGGTCCTCAAACTTTTTAAACAGGGGGCCAGCTCACTGTCCCTCAGGCATTCCACACATGCGCACTGCGGGCCCCGGAGTCGGCTGCTAAGCAGGACAGGCAGCAGCGGCAAAAACACCGGATAAATGTTTTCGGTGGACCGCATATGGCCCGCTGGCTGTAGTTTGAGGACCCCTGATACTAGGGCTTCAGAAGGAGGTAAATTTGAAAAGTTACTTGCAAAAGTCATAATCTGACATAACTGAAGCATAGAAGAAAAAGCACACATACGTTTTAGTATGAAAGGGACCTGGGTTTGAATCAGTGGTTTCTTCTTACTAGATTTCAGGTTTCCTTAAACAGGCTGTTTGGCCTTTCCAAGTCCCTACTCCTCTGTAAAACAGGGAAATAACCACCTCCTAGTCCAGTGATGGCGAACCTTTTGAGCTCGGTGTGTCAGCATTTTGAAAAACCCTAACTTAACTCTGGTGCCGTGTCACATACAGAAATTTTTTGATATTTGCAACCATAGTAAAACAAAGACATATTTTTGATATTTATTTTATATATTTAAATGCCATTTAACAAAGAAAAATCAACCAAAAAAATGAGTTCACGCGTGCCATAGGTTCGCCATCACTGTCCTAGTCATATTATCTCATTAATCCTCAAAGCTTCTAGCATAGGACCTGACGGAGAACATGGTAGATGATAAATTATGTCACTTAAACTACAAGGTTTTTCCACTTTAACCTCTTGGTATGGTGATGTAAAAAGCCATATACTTCTGTGCCTCCCTAAAATGTTTTTACTTAACAAATTATTCCCTTTCCTTGATGCCTCAGAATCATCATAATGACCAGCTATGACATTATGCTGTCGCAACACTGGAGCTATGAGGCAAAGAGCCGCATGGCGCTAGTGCTTGAACATAATCGAGGCCTGTGGTCTCCTCTCTTACAGTGCCTTTTCATTACTGGGACTCAGAAGCCATAATCAAGTTTGGGAGAATTATATAGAAATGTATGAATAAGCTCAAAAGAGGGCCTCTCCTCTTATGTTTTACGGTATTGACTTAGTGTCTTCGCGTCTTACTGATCATTTATTTTCACTTTCATGGTATAGTTAAGATTATTTTTGCTGGCTTTGTAAACCTATAAGTGCAGTGACTTTTTCCTAAAAATCTCTCTTTGGTATAAAAACAATGTCATTACCATTTAACCCTGCGGCAATATATTATGCAACTTTTAAAAATGTATCCCTAGATTGAGGGGGGATGGGGAGGTAAGAGATCAACCAAAGGACTTGTATGCATGCATATAAGCATAACCAATGGACATGGACACTGGAGTGGTGGGAGCATGTCCTGGGGGGTGGGATTGGCCGGGGAGGGGTTGATGGGGGAAAAAGGAGACAAATGTAATACTTTAAACAATAAAAAAAAATATGTATCCCTAGACATATTAAAATGTTTTCAGATGAAACAGTATGTCTTACATTTGCTTCAAAATAATCTAAGGGCAAAGGGATTGGAAAGGGTTAGTGAATGGGATGAAAATGAAACAAGATTTACCTTGTGCTATTGATAATTACCTAAGTTGGGTGGGTGATGGATGGGTACTGGAGGTGAGGAGTGAGGGATGAGGGGATGGGAAGAGGAATAATTCCACTATCCTACTTTTTGTTTTGGAAATTCCAAACTTATACACGTTTAAAAACACACACATACACACAAAAACCTATGTCTCAAAAGGAACTGGATACTGGTTTGGGTTCTAATTTGCTATGTGACTTAGGTATTTACTTAAATTTCATTAAACCCTGTATTTTCTCATCTGTCACATGAGGGCTTGATGATTGTCAACATTGAGTTATTTCTAAGAAATTGAACAACATGCATGGTATTATGCATGTTTTTAATCATCTACTTTTAAATAAAGACCTAATTGATGGTATTCTATTAAATTTCAATTTGTTTTTCATGAGTATGGCTCATACTTAGAATCTTCTAAATTTCAGCAACCTGCTCTAATATTTCTTCTAGGACTCTTATTTCTTAATAAGAAATATTTTTATTATTTAAATTATTTAAATATTATTTCACTTTACTTACTTTAACACTAAGCAAATTCATTATACCTACTTATATATTAAGACAAAGCAGATTGCTTTCTGGAAACTCAATAATTAAAAATGCTGCTTATAATATTGTATTTATGACCATATGGATAGCATGATTTACCACATATTTTATATATCTACCTACTATTCCATTTTTAAATGAATGCAGTGAAAGTGTTCAGTAACTTGAATTTTGAAGGAAAAAACTTTTAGCTAGGATTTTTTTTTACCAAGTTATGATTTAATATTTATCAATGTGTAAATATACAAACATGACAGCAATTTTAAAAACTTGTGAATAGTTGGCCTTACAAAATTACAACACACTGTAAATAAATCCCTCCCACATTTTACACAAATTACATGATTTTGATATACAAAGATTCTGTTTTTATTACACGGACAATGTACAACCAAGACTATTTACAATGCAAAAAAGTATATAAACCACAATTTAACATTCTGCTACTGGCAGCCACTATAGTTTAGGAGGTAGCTTTAATTAAACGAAATGAACAGAAGCCACATTTCCCAACTTGTGTTCTAAAAATAATTTACATAAGATAAAAATTCATTATATGCACAGTATATACAGTTTAATTATTAAACTGCAATCTAGCTTAATGTTTTTAGTATATCCTGTAAAACTAATATGGCAGTGGGTTTGCTATTGATTTAGCATATTGTTCAAAAAACATATTGAACATTTATAACTTTATGACCCCACATCGTGACATATCAAAAGTCTACAGATGAGAATCAAGTAAAATTTTTCATTTTTAAAAACATGGGCCTAAACTTTATTCATTTTTATCCCTTCTTCTTCTTCTTTTTTAATGACATGTGTCCTGTTTTACAAAAACACAGTATCTAAGCTGTGAACTGTTGTTTCACAGGCTTTTTGTAAATTACTGTAGGGGGAAATGTATGGAAACAGCATAAGTTCAGGAGAATCCAGCTAAGAAATAAATGTAAGTGGTATCATAATTACTCCCAATTTCTTCCAATTAAATGCAATTACTTACCACGGTTTTCTTTCTGTATAATTCAAAATATAAGTAGGTAACATACCAACAAAACTGGAAAACATCAGTAAAGCCAATGATATTAGGAAGTGTTCATTAATGGGAACATTACACAGAGCCATCAAATCCCTCAGAGACTATTAAACTCCGAAGTTAGTTAGTAGTTTAGCCAAATCTACTAAACCCACACAGCAATTAGCCCTTTTACTTTTCCTAGTAGTGTGATGACAAAACACTCAGGGGGAAAAATGACTGATCGCGCCAAAGCAATGTAAAATGACTAAAAACAAATGTTCATGCTGTTCTTTTAAAATCTAATAGTTGTTAATATTGTTTTGAGAACATCTTCAGGTTTTAAGGTTTACAAATCACTCCAAGAAAATGTATGATTCTATTATGTCAAAGATGGAAACAGAAAATGCCACAACCTAAGGCCTACATTCACTCTCACAGTCCTACCTGGGAGACGATCCCCTTTTTGGCCCTGAAGTCCGTTGTCCTGAGATTAATGATCAGACATTAGGTAAAATTAGCAAGACTTTCTTCAGTTGTGTGAAACCACATTTTTAAAATATTCTTTAAAATATATTAACAGCTGTTCTTTATCTTGTGCTTCATTCAGAAACAGGTTAACATTTTTTGCTGCT